GGGGGGGGGGGGGGGGGGAACATCCAAAAACTTCCAATGAGTCAATGAGTCCAGGATTCCAACCCAAACACTAAAGGCATACCTATAATACACAGGTGACAGTGCAACTATTTTAAGTCTCCCCAAGAAAGGTCCTGTGAGGACTGAAATATTGCAGGACCATCTGGGTGCCTGAAGGAAGCACTGAATTTTGAAATGGAAGTTTTTAAAGGAGAGGATGAAATTAATAAGCTTGGCAATAAGTTCAAGATGCTACTCAGTACTTGGGAGCTCATTTGTGTACTCAAGGCAGGCTATAATGCCAACATAGCACAGGATGTTTAAGTTCCAAGATGAAAACATAGCCAGCTACCACAGCATAAAATATTTCCCACTGAATTACTTATTTCTTGTCTTTTAGTCATGATGCTCACAAAATGCCTATAAAGCACTTTCAAAAAATGAGCTTGAATTAAAAAAAAAAAAAATCATATGTTTACAAGATGTGGAAAAAATGCCCACAATAGAATTGATAGTTTTTACAGCACAGTATGATTCTTGCTTCCTCTGTAGCTCTGCTGTATTCTGCCAAGCACAAATGACCTCCTTCTCCTTTTTAAACTTAAGCTAACATACCCCCTATTCATTTCACAGGTACCAACTTCCTCTCTTATTCAGAGGGTGAGGTTACGGACACTGAGAACTTGCTTAAAGTTTAAATTAGCTTATCACCTTAAATTTAGTTTTTAAAAGTTCAAATGACAGAAGAACTTCAAATCACAAAAGCTGTCCAACAAAATCCCCACCAAATCCTATTTACTGACAAATCCTTCTTCTTATTGAAGTGTTTCTGCAGCAGCACCAACCACTTCAGCAATGAAAACCAACTCTTATCCAGGTTGCTTTACCAGCCAAAAGTCAGGCAGTGAAGCATAACTATCCAGAATGTACACACAGAGCTTGTCCTGACTTGAAGTAGCATCCAGTAGACAAAACTGCAAAGTTTAGGAACCTGTGCTGATGAATGAACCCATTAATTTCTTCGGCCAACATGACATTCAACAGATTCCTAGATGTCATCTTTCCTTGCCTGCACACTTTATGCTAAAGTGGTCCAGCAAACTTCACATCTCCAACCTACCAAAACTCTGGAAAGCCACTGTGCAAATATACACATCCTTCTTCAGCACCGTGTTGATGTGCTCTGTCTGTTCTGGCATTCTCTACTTGCCAGATACTGTTTTTTTTGATGATCATTGAAATGTCGTTTGTATTTGGCCAAGCAATTCCTCTCCAGAGCTTGTTAACCTAGCACATGCGCCAAGCGGGTAATTTTCTTCACTACTGACCACTAACTGAAGAGGTGGTAACTCTTCTGTCAGAGCAAAAAGAGCATTTTTTTAAATTTAATTTTTCTTTTCTTTGTTTTCCTAAAAAGAAGGAAGTTACCTGAAAGTCACAAGACTTAAGTCTGCTTCTGAAATTGGACTTTGTGGTCCAGGAGAGCTGCCTTCAAGTTAGAAAGTAATAAAGCACTCATACACAAAGACACTTGTGGAAGAACAGGCTTTTAATCATCTGGACTTAAAAGTGGATCAAAAGCTTAATCTTCCACGACTGGCAAACTAAGGGTACAATAATACAGGCAGCTGCTCCAGAAATTCATTAAAATACTTTCAGAACCAATCTCGCTAACAGCTAGCAATCCAATGTCTCTGTGCCTGCTAAAGATCCCACCGGTACACAGTGTACAACGTCCTGATAAATGCTGTCATTACATCAAAAAGCCAACTTGTCTCATATTTGATATTCTGGGTGAAGGTCTACTCTTCACCCAAGGTCTTCATCCTTGGAAATTATCTTTGAATTTCCTCTGCTGCTTCATTTTCTACATGCTGAGGTCTACTCACAGAGTTAAATGAATGTGCTTTGTTCAAAACTTCCCAGAAGATTCTGAAAGACCACTAAAAAGACTCAATTAAGAGATAGCAAGGTTAGGATTATCAAAATGCCCGGTTCCGAAACTTCACTGGAGATGGTATAAGTTTGCAAGATTTACAAAAGCGAAGAACATAAAAACCAATTCTGACCTCTTTGGGATAAATTCTAGAAGAATGTCTAGAATGTTGACAATTCACCATGCAATCAAAAAAGAAACTGACTGCCTTTTCACAATTAGCATAAAAGAAATAAAACCAGTGGTCCAATAAGATGAAATACATTTTTGCGTGTGTATGTAGAGAAGTGTAAATAACATTGGCATTAAAATACTAGATCAAAGGACGAGAGGATAGTCAGTACCATCTGCTTCACAGAAGACCTCTTCCAAGCAGTAAAAGAAAAAAAAATATAAATCACAACTTCACTCCACTGGAAAGGTTTCACTAAATTTCAAGCCAAACTAATCATCACAGCGATTACTTACCTCTCTGCTAAGGTCCATTTACTTTAATAACACAAACTGCTGTAATTAATGTTGCTTATATGAAAGTGTTCCTCTAAAATCAAAAAAGGTTTCTGAACTCTAAATCCCAGTTACGACCTTTGCCATGCCTCATTTCCGTGGCATTTTTCTGAACACTTCATAAGGGACTACACAATTTTTGTGGCTGCATGACATAAGGCAAATGCAGCTATACAGGACAAAATATTAATTTACTTGACTGCACTTTATGTTCCAGTAACATTCCATCAAGTCACTATATGTAGTTTTCTGGGTTTTCTGTAACTGGTTTTGCTCACACATGAAAAAAAAAACCAAACAAGTGAATCATTTGTAAAATTTATTGTAGTAAGTCTAGACTTTCAATAGAATCCTTTAAAAGTGACCTTAAAATTAAATTAGATATATAGGAAATAGTTTGAACTACTCCATGTGCATTATTTGTGCTATATTCAGTGTAACTACAACCTCCACATCCCTGCAGATTCTCCTCAGGCTTTCCTACTAGTCCCCACTGAATCTACTACACGGGGTAGTTAAGCAGCTACTCCAGAATTCTGTAAATGCCGTTCTGCCATTCCATCACATTTCAGTAACACACTATGGCCTGGAGTTACCTCATCTAGTTTGGGTGCTCCAAGCAGCCCAATTGCAAGTAAAGGAGAGCTTCCACATGGACTACTTGATTTTGCTGAGCTAGCAACTATTACACAGTCAATTGAGTCAGCTGAGGAAGAAGATAAATCTGCCCTGCCATAGGCTGGACTGCTCCTAAAGCCCAAGCTGGCCTGGACACACCTACAATGCACACCAGTGTCAACACACCCTCTCGCAACAGCATCTTCTTTCAGTATGGGACAAGGGAGTTCCATTTCTCTTTGTTTTCACACTATACTTACTTATATACGTTTGTTTTTAAAAACACTTGCCTACACCCTTTTTGTTCAAAGCACTTATTCATTTTTACACAGATTTTCCATTGCCATAAACTTTTACTAAACTCCATTAGTCAGATATTCAATTAAATCAAGATAGAGCTACAGTTCTGGCCTGAGCTTCACCTGATACAGAGAGACCTCTATACCAAGGGATGTCCTACACAAAGCCTCCAGATTTAATCACTTACCACTTGTGGCCATGCCTCAGCTTCTGGTTTTGAATATGTCCTTAAAACCACATTGTGCAATGAAATTTTAGGAGGACATCAACCTCAACAGCCTGATTCCACTTTGTTGCAAAGGAACTCAAAGCGTTTGGTTAGACTTTTAAATTAAACAGACCCTACCCACTGCCAAAGTAAAATCTGTTGTCCATTTCATACTACCCTAAAAATCTACACAATGAGACCCAGGAAGATTCTTTGAACTTCACTGGTCCCTAGACACAACATGGTGGGTTTCTCCAAAATGCTCCCACACTGACTGGCTAGAAGTCAAACCTCCAAAAATCACGGGTCTCTCTGAAGCCTTTGAGAATCTACACGGATAATTTCAAAGACAGTATTCAAACACTACTGAGTGGGGCATCTGCATTTCTTACGACTAAACCTGCGTGCACAACAATCTGCTCTTGCTCATCTCCCACACCCTGCCTGAAACAAACTCATGGACGCGTGAAGGATTAGCAGCAATCCCTCAAGGCAGGGTACCGTTCAGAGCAGACAACACTCCTGAAACGTATTTCTGGGATGGCACACCAACTAGCACCAAGAAGTTTTGGTGGACTTCCCCTACAGCCCCATCCTAACTTGCTTTTCTATTTATTGGGTCTTAAAATGTTGCAATTTCACTGCAAATTTAACCATGAGCTCTGCAGGATTGTTTTGACTTTGTACAATGATTCAATTTTGTAGAAAGGGAAAAAACCCCACAACATCCCACCCAATTTTTTCTGTTGACAATCAAAGTAGACTAGTAAAAGAAAAAACCTCACCATATATTATAGCAAAATTTTCTTTGTGTTTCAGGCCTTCTCATAAACAACCAGTGAACCTCTCAAGTAACCATTTTTTAATTGCTCTTGAAAAATTAAGTATCTACCAACTTACTTCCCCAAATAGGAATATCTTTGCTTTCTGCTTTCATCACAATGGAGGCGAAGGTCATAGTTACTGGAATGGCATCAAAGTAGGAAGAATGTGGAGCCACAGTTAATATTGCTGCTTCCGTTGGCAACGCCCGTCTGCCTTTCACATTGATCCAGTGGAATCCACCAGCGAGCCACATCATTCTCATGATTGCTTTCAGCAAAATATCCACTATCCTGTAAAGAGTTGAGAAAACAGTTATGCTGCCGCAGGAATACCTTAAAATGATGAAAACGAAAACGTTACATAAAAACTTTATAAGCATGACAAAAGTACAGATAGGATCTGCTGCTTAAACGGAGCAGGAACACCGCATAGACCTTTTGTTTCCTCTTTCCCAGCAGACTTAAGACCACTTTCAAGGTAAGATGCCATTCGATTTCATTTCATGCCTGAATATAAGTGGTTTTTAATCACAGTAAGATTGGCATTTAATTTGTCACTAAATTAATTTTGATTCAGACTATAACTGTTGAGTTTCTTCTATAATGCTTTCTAGTAACACCAAAAAAGCTCTAAGAAACCCAGTCCTGAAAAATGTCATTAGGATATTGCTAGAATGCAACAATCCTGGTTCTGGGGTTTGAGTTACCCAAAGAAAACAGGGGAGAAACGCAGGACAGAGATTCCCAAACATGGGGATGCCTACAGAACACATCTGGGAGCTTTGGAAATATTTTGCTTTCTTCCCTTTTCCCCATCTCCTCCTAAAGTGTTTTGGTTTTTGTGGCGTTTCGTTTGCTTGAATCCGTGTGACAGTCATGAAAAGAGAAACGCTTACTTTGAACCAACAGAGTGCAAAAACCAAACACCACACATTGTTACACTCACAGGGATTGGAGGCTGGAGAGCAGGGTGACACTGAAAACTGGACGAAACAGGGGACAACCTAAAAAGCTTCAAAATAACTGTATGCAAGATTGAAGGCACTCCATTATTCCTTTCGTTATTATACTGTTATCATTCCAAATGAAATGTAAAGGGACACACCTCTCTGGTTCTCAACCTCCCGCCCTCCTGTGATGCAAAATGCAATCAACTTCCCTCATGCCAGCGCCCACTCCTAATTTTAAATTTCTCTACAGAAGAGGTGATACACTCCTCCTCTCTTGCTTCTCCAACAGCAGTTTTCACAGATGGGTGAACACTGTCTTATGTTCTACCTTCATTAGCATTTCAATATCAAAGCAAGCACAGACTTATTAATAAGCACCAAAGCATGGGGCAAGCCCTCAGACAATCAACAGAAGTTCTGTCAATTCATCACAGGGTAGCAAACAATGGGGTGAAGCAGTTTAAAACAACAATTTAGAATATGAAACCTGGGCACATTCCGTCATGTCAATCTTCATAACAAGAAGTTGACATTAGGGGAATAATTGAAATTGAAGGATGTCACAATGAAGCTTCACACTACATCCTCAACAAAGAAAAGAGGCCAGAGATGATCAAGTTTTCTCCCTTTAACTCTTGGGTCACCTGGTAAATCAAGTGGTTGAGGTATTTTTTTAGTTTCCCATCTGAGGAAAGCGTTTAAGTAATAATTTTTGTATTTTTCTTTTGAAGAGAAAAGAAGGTCTGTGGGGCAGTCATCGGGTATTTCCAATCTTCTCTATTTCATACTGCTGAACTAAATAATGATACTCTCAGTATTTCACCACATCAGTGACTCACTTTCGCCACCAGGAGAGTGGTTTTTCAAGCTCTTGCTCGTCAGATCCCATTGAAGCAATGAATGCAAAAGGCCAGGCCAGCAACATCATAAAAGCAGCAAAAAAGAGTCGGATAGGAAACAGAGTCAAGGTCATGAAGGCAATCTGAAAAATCCAAAACAAATGCATTACTTTAACACAATCTTGGACTGAAAAGGTCAGCGATTCCTAGAAACCGATCTGAAGTCTTAACTTAATATCCAATGTTAAAACCAGCAGAATATGGTTCAATTCCAAACAAATAATCGTGGTGTACGCATAACTTATGTATTCACCAATCTTAATCATAGCTGAAATATAGCACACTCTTTAAAGCTAATGCAGTCTTAGCTTTCCACACTTCAGACAGTACGTTTGTCAGTGAATACATCCATGTGCTCTCTTCCCTTCCTCAGCCTCACATTAAGCAAATATTTAGCATGGGTGTGCTGTAAATCTTACTGCACTACGGAGAAGTCAGTCCATCACAGCAGCTCCCCGTCAGTGACGTGTACCTCTTCAGCAGGGTGCGGTGCATTCACATGGCAATACAGCACCCAACCTGGAAAGCTCTTCCAGGACTGGGCAGGCACCAGCTCCTCTGTCGAATGTTCTTGGAACCAGAGGTTGTGCAGAACCACAGCGGGGAACACTGTGCAGAGACCTCTGGACAAACATCCAGACACACATATCAGTTTAAGTTCCAGGTCTCTGCTAACAGGCACAGCCCCCTGGAAAGCAGAGGTTTTCAAGAAGTTATCCTCCCCTGGGAAGCCACCAAGAACCTAGCTGCTTCTGTGCCTCCGCCCAGCACTCTAGTTCTCAGAGAGCCCATTCCCAGCCAGTCAGCCCTCTGCCTTCAACTCTGCTGAAAAACACGTCACACTGGAACTTCTCCCACAGTCTTTTGAAGCATTCTCCCAAACGTAGGGCCTTTCCTGAGCTGCCTGGAGTTGTTACGTGTCCTCCAGAAAACATAACTTGGCAACTATCTGTGCAGGTAGATAGTTTTTTTTCTCCAGGATACACCTCCAGGAGATAGGGCCTTTCCTGAGCTGCCTGGAGTTGTTAAGTGTCCTCCAGAAAACACAACTTGGCAACTATCTGTGTAGGTAGATAGTTTTTTTCTCCAGGAAACAGCTCTAGGAGCCAAGAATCCCATCTTTCCCACTCAAAGGACAGGAAGAAAGAAAAAAAGGTCTTAAAGTGGAAGAGGGTACAGGTTCAGATGACTGGCCAAGGGAGAGAGAGGGAACTGAAAACTCTTTGAAGCTGACTGGGGTAGCACCAACACTCCTCAGGCTGCACAATGGAGGCAAGCAGAAGATGAAGTAGACACTATGAAATAGAAGTGCCATGTAAAGAAAGGTAATTCAAAAGGAAATATGCTACATATTCACAGGTGTACCAGATGAGGTAGAAACGCACTTTTCAGCATCAAAATGGCTGGGCAAGGATGAGTAATGAGGCATAAGGTGCTGTCTCATGTTGTGCTTAATCTGATGCATCTCCAGGCTGCTGTGGAAAACATTATTCATATTCTTCTTCTCTTCCCTGATGCAGATCTAGTCAACATGCAGCTCAGTTTTCCATTGATCAGTTCCTGCTTCCTCTCACTTCCCAAAACAGCTCAATCACCAACTCGCTCTGTAGCCACACAAATTTGCAAATCTAGGGTAAGGGCAGGGAACACGCAGCCGGAGAAAAGCCTAAGCTACCAGCCCACTGCAATGCCACATATTACAATGATGGTTCAGGCTGGCACCATCATCTCAGAACAACCGTGGTCCCACTCCCCAAAACCTGGTTCCAGTCCCTGGGTAGACTGCTTCAGTTTGCAGAACCAAAAGAAAAATGAATTTTTAATTATTTTTTTTTTTTTTTTTTAGATAGGTTGGTTTCCCAGATTAAGGAGTACAACTTCCTAAACTGCAATGGTCAGATGAGCTCTGAAGTCATACCAACTTGTGCAACTCCACATCCATAAACAAGACCACTACATCTGGTAGCAAACAGGGCAGCATTCACCTGCAAACTGGAGAAGAGAGAGCAGCTGCCTTCTAAGTTCGTAAAATGAGAAGGACCAGCCATCAAGAAAAAAGGGAAACAAAATGCAGGTGAGGACATAGTCCTCTGGGATTCACACCCTCTCCCTCCCACTCCTCCAAGTCTCCTCCTATACCAAAGCAAAGCTGAATGGCAGGTGGCGGGGGAGCTGTTCAGTCCTTTGTCTCTCTACAGCAATCCTTTGGATCACGATCACTTTAGAGCCACATCACAGAACGGAAGCAATAGCTGCATCCATAAGGTCAGGAAAGATGGCATAAACGTGTAGAAAAAGCCTCTCGGTCTTCTGTGTCCAGAGACAGCAGTGGTGGAAGTGGCCAGCAAGAAGCAGTTCCAAGTACACAGGAGTACGGACTCTGGCTGTGACGCCAGCCTCTTTTTTAGCAAGTGGTAGCACAGTGCCTGTCCACGCAAGAAATTTGGTAAGAGAGAGAAGTATGTTTGGCCCCTGAAGAAGGTTAGGAATCAACAAAGACACTAACATTCAAAAAGTAGTTCAGCTTACATCTACATTCAGACACCTTCCTGGGTAAGAAAGCTTCCGTCCTGTAAAACGTACGTACAGCAGCAGTGTCAGACAGAAAAAGGGAGAAGATCCTGTCCTCACTGGCCCCTGTCAGAGATCAGAAAGATGAGACATATGCTTCTGGTCTGTCCTAGTACAGACATCTTATTTCGTGATCGTATTTCTACATATTTAGGACATTCACTCAGACTGGTAAGTCAGTCCTATGTAAATACCTGTGTTTTGAGATACACTTAAAAACCCCTAAAGATCTACCTGGAGCTACACCTTGGGGGGTTCAGCTCATGACCAATTTTCTCAAGAGGGGTTTGACTACAGCTCATTTAACACTTGCTGGTCTACAGGCTCCTGCTTAGTTTTTCAGAAGTGCAGTGTATGCTGTGAAAGACCTATGGACTGCAGGAAGGGAGAGGATGGTCTTACAGCTTGTAACAGAAGGCTGCCTTGGGAAGTGGTACTCCACTCTTCCATCGGAAGGTCGTCAATCTGATGTAAGGCACTTAAAACTAAATAGATATGATCTCCTCATTTAGAGACTCTGCATTTGGATTTGAGTATGAGCTTACAATGAAGGTAAAATACAAACATAAGTTCTTTTTAAGTTCTCCAAAACATCAGGTCCTATATATCTAAGCACTGAGCAAGAGAATCACAGAGTACCCTTGCTTTTCCTCCTGTACGTTTCCATTTCCTTTCTTGAAAGTCAGTATTGTACCTCTCATGCACAGAGAAGCTGAAAAACCACATCTTTGACATCAGCTATACACAGAAACATCATTAAAAACCCTTTTTTCACCACAAAATTCCCATGACATTACAAATTAATGGTCACATACTGAACAAAGAAAACAGAATAATGAACTGCATATTTAACATGGTAGAGGATTTTTCTTTTAAACGTATCAGAGACAACATCTTGCCCCACGCTTCCACTATTATCATCCCTATGCCTCAATTCACCGAAGAAGGCACTGAAGGAGCTAGGAATTCATCCCTCAGCAATCCTCTTACTACCTGCCTTCCCATTCTGCAAGTTTCCCGATTGACACAACTGGAGATAAATACAGGAGTAGAAATTTTCAACTAAGCCAGTCTAACAGAACATTGCAGTTAAAGAGGGTGCTCCCGTTCACTCTCCCCTCAACCCTCCCCTTGAGTCAGCTCTAGCACTTATCTGAGCTTGCAATGAGCCAATACAGCTCATTAGAGTGAAGAAAAGCAATCCCAGCAAAAGAAAACAATCAGAATACAGAAAAACACAATAACATCCTGGTTTAATGAGCCAAATCAGCTCACTAAGGCACCAAAGGAACACCAGCATTGGTGCAATAAAAGGGCCAGAAACACTGAAAGCAAGGAAAATGGAATCTTACTGTGTTTTTAAGTGGCAGGGAAACAAAGCCACGAACACTTTGTGACAGCTCCAGTAATGCTTCTGCCTGTTCTGCAGAGGTAACTAGAATCAAGAGCTTTGACTTATGTGATAGCTGCCCAGAAGATGTTAAGATGAACAAAATTCACGGTTAATGAAATCATGTCTGCCTCTCTTGCAGAAAGGATCTTTTTATTACAGCACTGAAAAAAAAAAAAGGTAGCTTCAAGAATGACCCCCACTGTCACCCTCAGATCAGAGTAAAATAACCACCATTTCTACAGGAAGCATGAGACTTAGTTCTCAAATAGCCTTACTGCTTTTACACTCCTGTTAGCTCCCAGTTTTTATAAAGCTAATAAAAGATGATGTGAACAATTCCTCAGCACTCAAATGGATTTCTTTTTGCTGTTGTTATTCCTCTTTGCAGTTGTTTTGTCCTCTTACTTTCTATTATTTTTTTTTTTCACTCCCACAGTCTCAGGCTGAAATGGTCTAAAACACATTTACTCTGAGTCACACTAATGAGCCAAAAAGCTAATCTAACTCTTGAAGAGTGCAGGATGAGAGAGGGATGAGGTGGTAGTGGAGATAATGGGGCTATCTGGCAGACCATCAGCAACAGACAAAGCAGTCTTGTCTCCCAGTCCCCTGTGCTCACCAACTTCACGTATCTCTAGTTCCTAACCTTCCTCTATAGGCTTTGCAATCCAGGAACTCACCCTTTAGATTCACAGGGCAGAGAGAAAAACCTGTGACACAATACGCGCCTACAGCTGCACAGGAAGCGAGTTCAGCTGTAATACTTCACACCGAACCCCCAGTAACAGGCCAGGGCTGTACAGAGGGGAACACACGCTGCTGTAACTCACTGTAAAGCAGCCTCCCTGTTCAAGAAGCCTCCCTTTCTAGGGGGGGGCAGCATTTCTCATAGGTGGAACAGTCCCACAGCTCTTCTTTAACAGCCTTTCACTCAAGCACAACTCCTCTTTTAATCAGCAAAGAGGTGAGGAGAGCATGATTAAAGCAAAGAAGAAAATCTGCCACAGTTCCTCGTGTCAGCTTGTGTGCTTTTTTGCTCGCACAAGACTGCAAGAAAGGCTGGCTTACACGGCTCTGTGCCGCTGTACATCAATAAAAGATTGCTCGCTTAAA